CCCGCCATCCTAAACCCGGCAGAGGGGCGGGGGGGGGGGGGACACCCCGGGGGGATGTCACCCCCTTGTGCCTGTCCCGGATGTGTCCCCAGGATCCCTTTGGGGCCGCACCTGGGGGGTCTGTGGGATAACGCGGTCCCTGAAACCGGGGGGACACATCAGTGACCCCACGGTGGGGTGGGCACCGGGGACACCCCCCCCGGGACTCCGCCGCTCCGGGCAACCCACCCCTCCACCCAGTCACCGGGACATCCCCGCACCGACCGCGGACGGGACCCCCTCCCGCCCATCCCTGGTGACCAGGGACCCCCGGGACCCCCCATTCCCACAGACCTGCTCCTGCTCCCGCAGCGCCGCCGCTGCTCCCGGTCCCGCCCCTCCCGGTCCCGTCCCGCACCGTCCGTGCGACGGCGGCGCCCGGTGGTCGGAGGCCAAACGGCGGGGACCGGGACAGATACCGGGACAGACACCGGGACCGGCACCGGGACAGACACCAACACCGGGAGCCGCGTGGGGAGGGGGGACTGACACCGGCACCCGCATCCGCGTGGGATGGGGAGGGATCGGCCCCCAAAGACCCTGGGGATGGGGGTCCCAGGTTTCCCCTTCCCGTAGGGCAGGGACGAGGCGCCCGGGTATGAGCTGGGGAGGGTCCCGTGGGGCAGCACAACCCCCTCCCGTGGGCAGTACCCCCGTGGGCATCACCCCGCGTGGGCAGCGCCCCGCCCGCCCCGCGCTATGCGGGCGGACCTGCCGGGCAGCGCCCTGCCCGCGGGGGGACCCCGAGCACCCGCCCGGCGCGGGGGGGGGTGGTGGGGTGCGGGATGTGACCCTCGTGGGGGGCTCAGCTGATCCTCAGCCGGGTCACCCCCACCCAGCACCCTCCAGCAACCCTGTCCTGAGCAGCCCGGGAGGCCCAAGGGCAGGGTGGGGGTCGGGGTGCTGGACCCTTGGACTCCTTGGCAGGGTTGATTTGGGGTATTGGACCCCTGGATGATTTGGATTTGGGGAGCCGGACCCCAGGGTCCCTTGGCAGGGATGGTTTGGATTTGGGGTGCCAGACCCTTGGGTCCCTTGGCAAAGATGATTTGGGGTTGGAGTATTGGACCCCTGGGTGCCTTGGCAGGGATGATTTGGGGTTGGAGTATTGGACCCCTGGGTGCCTTGGCAGGGATGATTTGGGGTTGGAGTATTGGACCCCTGGGTGCCTTGGCAGGGATGATTTGGGGCTGCA